GTGCTGTGAAACTGAGGTCATGGGCGCTGCAAGCACAAAAAGTGGTTTCAATGCACACAGGCCCAAAAAATGTTTTTATGGACTGGAGTAAGACAGCAGAGGGACGAGGCAACATGGCAACGAGCTCTGATTCAAAACCTTCCTTTACATTATTTAGGCTCATTGGCAATCAAAGCACAAGTTCCAAGCACAGCTAAGAAGCAGGATTCCAGCAGAAGGCCAGTGTAACAAGTCACCGGAGGAATTAGCTATGCTAATCAAATGAACGATGGCTACAGAGATGGAATCTCTTTAAGAAAGTCTGGCCCACATGTTAAAGGTCTCGCTTCAAAATACCCTTGAAAATGACAACTTTCACTGTTCTTTGAAAGACAAATCAGACATCCAGGCGAAGAAGTTTGGCATGGTCCTCAACAAAAAAGACAACATTCAGATTAGCTTGCGCAAGAATGAGAAAGATACTAGCTCTTGCCTTGCGGAGGTGACTACATATACAAAAGAAAATCAGCTCAAAACAAAACAAAGATGGGCAGAACATTTGATCCATATTAAACAAACAGTATTATTACTTTATTATTGCATATAAAGTATGAATTAGAATGGAGCAGGCCAAGCTGCCTTTTGGCATTGGTGCTTAAGCAACAAGAAGCTAAGCGGTTCATACCAACAATCAGATGTGCTAAACTTGGAGTTGTGTCTACGACTAAAGAAATAAGAGATATTCAATAATTAGTTGTGTAGTTCTAGTGGTTTGTTTCCTTTGGAAGATGACTTCACAAATTATTTAGTGGGTTGGACCTCCCTACACTTACTTTAGAGAACAGTAAAACTTTGACACTACTATTACACTGAATGAGTTATTTAAAGCAGACAAAGCTGAAAACAAGGGCAGTACCCAACGTATAGAAGGCATGCCAGTAGAGCTCTATCTAACAATTGGGATATTCTGAGACCAGTATGGTTGGAAACATAAAGTATGTGTTGAAACAACATTTTTCTCAGAAACCTAAACATAGCCCTGATCACAGTAATACCCAAACTGGGTGAAGACCCCTTGGAATGTGCCAACCAATGTTCGATCTCTCATTGATAATTGATAACTCACTGATGTCTAAATTAAAGGATCTTCTATATTAATAAGGTAACTCAGTTGTTGTTGGGTTGTGTGAGTTAAATGTTCTAAATTGCACACACACAAAAACAATGGACAGTCCATTGTAATGTCTATATTGTGCTTATCTCAGGAATAAAACAGAAGTGACAAAAAGAAAGACACACAGCAGAAGATTTTGTATTTTTCTTGTCAGCACCATACAAAGATTTTCATTTGAATGATTTAATAATAATATCTCAGTCCCTCTCAGTTGTGTGAAATGAAGGAGCCTCTCTGGCCTTTACAAGAGGAGTGATTAAATGTTAAGGAATGACATTTTCTCTGCTGCCTTGCTCATTAGTTATTCTGTCTGTGTTGGCGCTCGTTGAAGGCCAGACCTGACCCCTCAAACAAGCTCTGCTGGGGGGGTTTGAATGTCACCCTACAGAAAAGGCTCCATGCTGAGGTCCAAACCTGCAGCTCTTCACACATACAGTACATTACACTCCTCACAAATAAACCATTACAGCATTGTAAAGACACCACTAGTGTTATTAAGTACTGGCAGTAACATGTCATTAGAATAACCAAATGGATAAAACATCAACAGACACACAGTGAGTAACTTTAAATAAGTAAAGAATAGAGAGAAGACAAAAGTTAGGCAAAAATCCTCAGAAAATCCATAATTTCCAAAAAGTTATGAACACGTCCAATTATTTCTACATAAAAGCAAGAAACACGTCCCTTAAATTCAATTTAATCCCACTTTTCACTAAAATGAAGTTCTTTCCATTTTATATCATGTTGTGCTACTTTACCAGAGTATTGAGATATTTTTTACAAAGGTTGGGTTCAGATATGTTCTTGTTGTGATTTAAATAAGGGGTCGACCGATATTGGGTGCCAGTATGCATTTCCATTCAAATTCAAATCATTTTGAATTTGTAATATTACAAACTCCAACACAAGACTTATTTTAAATGCTCAACGGGGAACTCTCCAGACCCAGAGGGAAAGACACACCTGCAGGCTTCGTCCATTAATAGTCAAGTAGCCCTTCCGTCTCTTCTGTAGTGGAAATCATTACTATTCTCTGTTCACTCTTCATGTGTCCATTTTAATCACGGTGACTGACGATGGTAGAGACTTAAAGATTTTTTTTTCTTTAAGTCTGGATGTAAGGCATCCTGATGCTGCAGTTATATTCCATGATGCCAGACCACACAGTATGACTCATTTTTCTGTATTTAGGACATCGTAGTGCTGATATTGTGTTGTCTGATCTTGGCAGATACACTGAGAATAAGTCATCCGTCAGTTTTACATACTTGGATAAGAGACACAAGGCCACTCACACAAGCTGCAGGAGTGAAAACAGGCAGATGACGAACACTTTCTGTTCTGACATCTGTTACCAAATGAAAATGAAGTTCTTCCCTTTAACTGTCTGTCTATCACTACTTCACACTGCCTCTACATATAGCAGCTGTTGTGATTTGGGATTTTAAACTGCTGTTATTGCAGTCAAAGCAGCAACTATTATAGTGAATGTTGAAGGGTTAACACAAAAGCAGACATATGAATGCATAATCTTCTCAGACGTCTGACATTCACTGTGAGGATTCAAGGCAACAGACAGAAAGGCTGCACACTGAGGTACAAGGAGCTTCAGAATACACATACTGCAAAATGATGTAACATTCAATGAAACATGTTATAACAACATAGGTCAGATACAGAACTGTGAGTATAAAGATGAAGACTTTGACTATCTGATCATACTCGTGCATTTGTGGATAATGTGTCTTCATCTGAGAGGTTAACTTGATTTGTTTTAAGCACCTCATTGATTCTCAGCTTTATAACATATTAGGGTGTCTCCTTTCGTTCTGCAGAGTCCCTTTGCACCTTTAAGAAAAAGCTAAAGACCCATCTCTTTCAGGACCACCTACACACTGAATGATATTGATTATGAGGATATTTAGGATGGCTTTAGTGCTGATTAGAACTCTGTCGATATAGCTGTTGATTATGATATATTAACTTTAACTTTAACCTCTGTGCACTGCCAGTCGGCACCTGTGTCTGATCCGGCTTAAAGCTTTTGGTTTGCACTCACCAACCTTGTTTCCTCCTCTGTAGATCATCGCTTGTGTTGTACTTACTCTCTGATGTTCATCGCTTTGGACAAAAGTGTGTCTTAAATGAATTTTGGATTTGTAGAATCGGAGGCTCTTTGACCTTTTTCATCTGAGCTCTACTTTGAAAATATAAAAGTGGCTGAGTGCTAGTTGCATCACATCGATTACGTTTGGTCACATAACATTTCAAAACAAAAAAGGCAGAATTTAATTTACTTCTTGTAAGACCCCGTTTCCCAAAAAGTTTGGGATGCTTTGTTCAATGTAAATAAAAACAGAATGTAACGAATTGCAAAACACTGAAACCCCATATTTCATTAGAAATAGCTCAAAGACAACACGTCAAAGGTTTAACCTTGATTGTTCAAATGTCATTATTTTTGGAAAATGGTGTGCCCATTTGATGCCAGTCTTGGCCAATGGTCATCTTTCACCATTCTGACATTTGTGAGTTGCTTCTTGAACTTTGTTATATCATGTTTCCACTTATAAGAATGATGCTTTCTAGTGTCCAACACAAGAAGGTGCATGTCTTTATGGATGGATGAAAATTTGATAGAAACTACCCTGGCCATGAAGGAGACAAAAAATAGACAAAAAATACTTTATATAAGATGGGGACGAAGACTCATGGTTTCAAAAGTGAAGCCAATGTAGTGTCATAAACCTGCATCCTGTTAAATGGCCAGCAGGTGGGCCTTGCCTCTGGTTGAGTAAATAGGTCCGATTGCAGAGAAAATAGATGAGAAAACTAGCCTACTCCCTTCTATACCCAAGTATACTGATGAGCTTATCGTATAATTGCTAGTTGTTTTTAAGCTTTCACCATGGTCATTTGTCAACTAACATAAAGGCGAAGCAAGATGTATCCACCCTCTTTCCAGTTATGGTCACTCCTGGTTTTAAAAAATGGTTTTGGCCTAAATGCCAAACTTGAGGCTCTGAAAGGTAATTCATACAGCAATGGGTGATATCTTTGTGGCTGCATAGACTTCTTATATACAGTCTATGAGATAGCTACACTTTTCCAATTACGTTCACAATAATGTGCAATTTGGAGTCCTAAATGAATAATGTAAGGTTAATAATGGCAACCCCACTGTACAAAGTGGTATGCCTTATCTTTTTGTCCCAGTCTTGTCTTTTACATCAGTGTTGATGTCTTTGGGATATATCGGGTGAATGGTCAAATTTGCAGAGAAGTTGTGGAGAACTAAAATACCTAATCTCTTTTGTTTTTATTGTTTTCTTTTTAAAAAACAAAACAAAACATTTGCTCTTCAAAAAGTATGTTTTCTAAAAATTTGTCTTGAAAAGTGGGGGTTCGTTTTATACCCAAGGTCATACTATATTCAGGACAATATGGTTCTTACAGGTACAATAGGAGTTTGTTGAGGTGCGGACCTTAAAAAAGGAACAAATATTGAAGCTTTGTATCTAAGCGACAAATCTGATTCGATTGCATTTAATTTTGTATTCTAGTCATTTGAGAATCTGGGGTACAAAGCAGTCTTACAGTGGGATTGCAGAAGTCTGGTTTCAGAGAGAAAGCAAAGATTCACTGTGAGATCAGCTATGTATCTGCAGTTCTGTTGTGTTTTGAGGATCCACAGATTCAATAGACCTCTATGGCTGCAAACGTGAAGATCTTCACTCGAAACTTTAGTCTACCTCTTTTTCTCTGCAGGAACTAGACTGTGTGGATCCTTGGACGAACAAGTGACGGTGCTTCATCTTATCGACACTGAAGGTGATTTTAAGGAAGCCAAGATCCTCACAATGGATGAATCAACAGAGGTCCGAACAGATGGCAATTCTCTGCTGAAGGCTGTCTATTTGTGTCGTCTGCGTCTTACCCGTCTTCTCCTGGAGGGTGGGGCCTACATAAATGAGAGTAACGAACAAGGCGAGACGCCACTCATGGTGGCCTGCAAGACACGCCACATAGATTCACAGAGTGTACCCAAACAGAAGATGGTTCGGTATGCTTTATCAGGATATTGATATTGTTTTTACCTTGCATTAACATCCATCCAGGCTGATCTGATAAAAAGTGGATAACTCATAAAGGAGTGATATGTAACTCTGATTCCATAGCATTTAAAATTGGTAATGCGCTCCAAATTAAAAACATTGAACATGGCTGTCTTCCTCTGCCCCCTCCTACCTAGAATTGATCGGCACGTTGCCATGTCGCAGACACTGAAGCTTCAGTCTAACCAGCTCTGCATCAGTCTTGAAATCTTTCTGGGTTCGAACCTCTCTCCATTTTTCAAAAGCATCTCCAATATTTATCCCAGTTCTTCCATGTTTCTGTTCATGGAGCTTATTAGAAAACATGCAGAGGCTTTTTAGGTCAGCCAGAATTATATCTGAACCAGTTCACTTGCCCGCTTCCATCGCTGCAACACCTGTTGGTTTGCCGTTTGCCTGGCAAACCAAGGGGCATCCAAAACGTTCATTTGGGGATGTCTTAAAACCACCTTCCTTCTCAGGTCAAAACGACATACCATTTTGGACCTGAATCTAAACTTAGAAGGAGGACATAGCCCTACTGGCGCCTACATTTTTTTGAGTGAAGCCAGTTCTTTAACGTAGCATTTTTCCCTAATGTCTGATGATATAGTGAGGTCAATTTATAATTTAATTCAATAGTTATCTTACATATTTTTCTTTTAAGTACGGGCATTTACACTGCATTAACAATGCATCTCTGCAGAGTACTTGAGATCAGCATTAATTCCCCTGCCTCACATGCAAATAAGTGCCGTCTGGTTTGAAAAGGCTGGATGCATCATTGGTTACACCCAGAGGGAGGCAGCTTGTTCTACCAGTTGAGGGGGCGGTCCTTAATGCTGCCGAGGATGCATGAGTGTTTATACTACTGAAACAATATGGAAAAATGTATGCCAGACTACCTCTGTATGTGGTCTGAGCTGTCGGTTCCCGACCCATCTTCAGGGCACATTAGGGTGTGTTCACACCTATGATGAGCTATCCCCTTTACTGTATATCAGTTCCCCCAGGACGGATGTTAATGCAAGGTACAAACAGCCTCTTAAAATAATGTTTTGCCATTGAAGATTATTAGCTTCAATTCAGGAGTTTCGTGGTTTTATAACTGTTACCTTTTCTCCCACTAGGTATCTTCTGGAAAATAGCGCTGATCCAAACATCCAAGATAAGACAGGAAAAACGGCTTTGATGCATGCATGCCTCGAACAAGCTGGAGCTGAAATTCTGTCCCTTCTGCTGAGCAGTGGAGCTGATCCAACTCTGGAGGATCACACCGGTTTATCAGCTTTGGTTTATGCTGTCAATTCAGGCAACAGTGACGTCCTGAGGGTCCTCCTGGACGCCTGTAAAGCAAAGGGTAAGGAGGTTATCATCATCACCACCAACAAACTGCCATCAGGCCATCAGATGACAAAGCAGTACCTCAATGTCCCTCCACCTCCTGATCTTGAGGAGCGAATGCATTACACCCCGACATCCTCTTGCATGTGGCCATTTGAGTTCCAGCTACGAACTCCTCCACAGGGCTCCTCAGCAAGTGTTTCTCCCCAGCCTGGCAGTCCCCTTCTTGGCCTCAGGGATCCCCAGTGTTTATGCTCAGGGCCTGGTTTAATCACATCTCGCCCAAGCTCTCCAAACCATCATCCTAGTCCTTTACGCATTCCTGGGGTGGATAAACGACTTAACCTCCAGAGGTTACAGTCCGAGCAGTGGTCCAAAAGTTCCTCCCTGTTGCTCCAGCAAAGCCAGGCCTCCTCTTTAACTGAGGAGCCAGCAGAAATCACACCTGAGGAGGAGTTGTCCTTTAGAGTGAACGGCCTTGCATTCCATGGAAGACCTCCAGCTGTCTCACGCCACCACAGCATCGATGTCAAAGACTCATCAGGACTTCTCAGAGCACTGGAAAACATTTCAGGAAATGAGACTAGGGCAGGATGTGGAAAAAGAGTCTTTGGCAGAAAGATGTCATATGACAGTGCTGCAAGTTCACCACATTCTGCTTCCCACCCAAACTTGCTCCAAGACATTCAGCAGAATGTTTTCCGTCTGAGGAACATCGGCATTGACCACTACAGCTCAGACTCTCAGTTACCACAGTTTGGCAGCCAAGATAATAGCTCCAAAAATATTGCAGGGAATGGAACAGGAACAGAAAAGTCCAAACTGGTCAACAGTGTATCGTCTACTCTGTCAGGATCTAGGGAATCATTGGAGAGCTTTGTCCCCAAAAGAGGAGCAGCAGGGCTGGAGCGAAGAGGGTCAGGAGCCCTTCTTCTGGATCACATCGCCCACACTCGCCCTGGATATCTCCCTCCTCTCAATCCCCATGCTCCTATACCAGATATCGGGGTCACTTCTAGTGCTTCTTACCCTTTGAGTGGCAGCAGCAAGACACTGAATGCTGTTCATACAGGGTCAAAGCCTTTTCTACCCTGTGCACCAGGCTTCCCCAGGGATTCCAAAGTCAAAAAAATGCTGTGGAGACGCCACTCAATGCAGAGTGAGCAGATTCAACAACTGGCCAACTTCAAGGAAACTTTTGGCCAGTAGAATTAAATATTGCATGTATTAGGGAAAAAAATGATCTCTTACCAATTTCATTCATTGCTGTACTGTGACTACTTCACCATTGCCGATACCAGCTCATGTGCACTTTAAGTCTAAATATAGTTGATGTACTTTTTTGGTCTTCTCTTGACAGACATTATTTTTCTCTTATTTACAAGGAAAATGTATATGTAATGAAACACACAAGAATAAATATGACACTTCAATCTAAGAAAAAAATAAACATTCTCAGCTAGTGTTTTACTAAGAAATGACCTGGACAAGGCCTGTTGACGAGATGGTAAAGGACAAAACACCGGAAGAAATGGCAGAAAAAAACCCTCTCTGTATAAACTTTTTCTCCATTGGTTCACAAATAAACTCAGAACCCAATCAACATTGAATAAATTACTCCAGGAATTCATAGTTTCTCTGTGAAATTGGTGAAACCTGTGGTTAGCGTTAAATAACTTCCAGGCCAGACTTCCTTTTCCTGATTTGTAAAAAGTAAAAAATAAAGGCTTTGCCCAGGAAAGGAAAACAACTTTTAAAATGTTGCTTTGAAAAATGGTGGTGGATCATTTCTGATGCCTTTTAGGTAGTCTGGAAATCTCAACTCTGGATAAGGTCGGACTTATCACTTTTGTGACAGCATGAAGCAGATTTATGCCTCAAGTTTAAATGTTTGATCTTGAACAGTTTATTAGCTGCACTTATATCTTTTTATAGAGGAGCATAAATCCTTTTTAGAATACCACTGATGGGAGCAGGTAAAGCGTAGATACAGTTCCTTCTTTTATTCCTGTCTGTACGGACTGTTTTTCCTGCATACACCAAAGTCTGCTGATATGTGATTGGTCAGTATAGATAGGACTACAAGTGTACTACAAATGGACACCAGAACACTTCCCATGCTGACAATCCACTACATTTCTATGTAGAATCTGTAAATAGAGGTCAATGCACCATAGATCTTAATAATGCCTGTTTATTCCACATAATTCATTTTTATCTCAGATGCAGGTAGTCCACATTGGAACAGATTCTTGTGTTTGAAGCAGACACTCGGTTATACCCAATAATGATAACATCTGCTCTTTTTGCATCAAATAACTAATTAAAACAAAACCTTTGAAAAAAATTAATACTTGGACATAGTATGATAAAAAACTAAAGTAACATGACATATTTACTGTTTTAATATTTGGGGCTGGGAGGGAGCATTCCTGTTGGTTGTTAACTATTTCCAAATCACCAAACATTTGGAATTATAAAACATGTTTGATTTGATCTGAATGTCAGACCAATAAAAAGCAGCCTGAACTGAGTTTTATGAACACCTCACACCAAACGATGGGGATGACGGAAGCGACACAACTAAAATTGCATGGAAAGTGTTTTGATGTGAAACACAATAATTGGAGTCTTGCTGAAACCAAAGGGATATCGGCCCTTTATTTGAATCCCACAGGATCTCACATCTGGTCTCAGGACACCGGATGTATCTTTTCAGACTAAAAACAGTTGATTTTCATATCAATATAATTCCACTCTGAGGTAAAATAGTCACTTCCTTTAAGCCTTTAAATGTACTGTTTTGTGAACCCAGATGAACTTGGACACTGGATATATTAGTACCTGCAAAGGAAAATACATGTTGACCATCTACATTCCTCCACAGCAGATTAAGTCATAAACCAAGTCCCAAAAGCACACTTCAACATGTTTTTGATACATTTCAAGCAAACAGCTTGTAAATGGTTGACAATAGTTATTGAAATTAATTTATCTTATTTTTTATTTATTTTTTATTCATTATTCTTTTCCTTTTATTCGTGAAATAACAAAACAAACAGTGACACAAAGGACAAAACGGGGAGGACAATTTTACAGGCATATCGAGAGTCATTTGCCAGAGCAATGGACAACCCAATTGACTATTTTTTTTAGAGCAGAAAAGCCGGTCAATGCATTCGATAAAGTAAAACCCACAAAATGAGATCGATTTTTGACAAATGTCCATTTGTTTAGTTTCATCTTGTAAAACCTTTTTACACAACGTCTTATTTTGGTGACCTGTAAGGTTATGACTGATCAACTTTTAATGACTATAAAACTCTTAAGTTAACTGCTTTAAAAAGTTAAAAAATAAACCTTCAAAATCAAGGCCGTTGGAATTTTTATTTCTAAAAAGTAAAGTGTCGACTTTTACTTTGGACCTTATATTTTTTAATAGCATCAAACATCGTGCTGAATGGAGTTAGTCTCATGACTCACACTTGTGCTGTGTGTGTGTGTGTGTGTGTGTGTGTGTGTGTGGGTGTGTGTGTGTGTGTGTGTGTGTGTGTGGGTGGGTGTGTGTGTGTGTCTGTGTTCTTTGTTACTTTCTGTGATATTAAGTTCAATGTTACAGAATAACCTTGGCTCAAATAAAGAAAAGTGCAGAATGAACTCAGCATATCGAAAGGTTTCAAACCATCTTCTCACTAGAAAACTGTTTTAATATAAACACATTTAACAATGGATTGTGTTCACTTGATCTGCTTTATTATAGTTTCATTATTTGTCAGTTGTTATAAAACAACAATAGATGCACAAGTATTTTGTGCAGAGGAAAACATAATGTCAATACATGCATAACAAAGTTGGAATAAAGTAATTATGGAGCTGCACACTGAGAAACAGTATCCTTCCCTTTCAGAACAAGCTTTTATCTCAAAAAGTAAATCTGCATCCTTGAAATGTGAAACAGTCTCAGGCCCTTTTCATCACATTTACAGTTGCCACAAGCAACAACACTTCAGGGATACTGAATGCTTTTGTCTGCTGTGAGGTTTACAAACTTAGATGTTTCACATATTAACTTTTTTTTTAGAAACAATTAAGAGGGCTTAAAGGAAAAAAGGTTGGGAAGGAACCAGTGATGTAATGACATACAGCTAAATTATTAAATTTGTACTTTATCTATATGCTGCTTCATACTTTCGGAAAAACAGTCTTTCAAAAGTTCTGATTTTTGTAATTAAAAAAAAAAAATCAAAGAGTGGAAGGAAAATGCAGATTTTTTAAAATAATATAGAATACACTTGAATAACTCTCTGGAATAAATTATAAATCATAAGTTTGCATTTATTAGCTTTTATTAATTTACTATTAAGGTGAGATAAGTTCATTTATAGAGCACCATTTATACATGAAGTAATTCAACATGTTTTAGGGTTAAAAACAGAACAACTACAACAATAAAAGACAAGACACTGAGCAAAATGAGACATGTAAATAGGGATTACATTTACAAGATGAAATGGAACAAAGAAAAAAGACATAGCCGAATATATAGATATAACATTCAATACAAAATATTGTAAAATGTCCTCAAATTGGGCAGTAAATAATATGTTATCTGCTCTGCGGCCTCACAGTGTTACAGTCCTCTGAAGTCCCTGATTACAGTCTTACCTTCCCAACTGACAAAGATTCACATACTGGTCTTAATCAAAATGCATTTTGTAACACAATCCACCCCAGAACGTCTTCCCGAGGATTAAGGCTCAAAGTTTGCTCCGTCTGTGTTGGGCAGCGGTGGTGGAATCTACCCACTCTTCTTCCCATCAAGGAAATGACTACCTCCCCCCCTCTCGGCTCCTCATCAGCGGCCTCAAAGGACAGTTCCACCTTTCCCTCTCCAGCATCAGTCTGCTTTCAGAGTCTAGTGATCACATCCTGAAAACTCCTCAGTATGTTTTAAATTAAGTTTCAGTTATTGTCTCGGCCCATCTGACTGAGCTCAGTTCTCTGTGAATCTGGCAGGTCGAAATAAATCCTGCTGATGTCAAACTGTTTCCTGTAGAGCAGGAGGTCCTGAAGTGTAAACTCATCATCCTGACCGGTCCACACTGTGAGCGAGTACCTGAGAACAACATGAGAAAGTATCACATATTCAACAGCTTGGAAGTGAATCTTAAAGGTCAGAAACGGAAAAGAATGATTCATCAAAGAGATGATCTGCTGTTTGTTGTGATGCTGGTGTGACTTCCTGTCCTAACAGTGTTTCCTATTCACCTGTCCGTCTGCTGCAGCAGCCAGGTGAGCTGGGGGGCAGACTGGGCCATCAGCGCAGCTCGCACTGGGAAGGTGACGGGATGTTTAAGATTCTTACAGACTTCCTCCATCGTATGCACCATATCCCAGCTGTAACCTGAACCAAAAATGAAACACACACAGAAAAAAAAATCACAGTTTCTCCTGCTTTAACAAACCTTTATTACATCATTTATATTTAATACTCACTCTCTGATTGGATTTGATTTTAAAACATTAACATCCTACATGTGGAAATTCTAATTTCCATATATCTTGTGCATACTTTCATTTAATATTAAAACATTCCAACCCTTTTTTTAGCTGAGGTCCACTTGAGCCTTTACAACTAAATAGCAGCATAATTTGATGAATGTATTCTCACATTTTTAGTTTTCATGTTCTAAAGCAACCTTCACCAGATGACTCTGATGTACTTACATATAAAGAAACTCGACACACAGACTGTATATTTGTATTTATTCTATTTGTGCTTATATATTGTGTTTGTGTTGTACTCTTGACATCATTGAAACTGAGGACACAATTCTCTGAGATTTAAATAAAGATGAAATAATAATTCATATCTCTTGTCTGTACCTGGGTTCTCGGTCCCAGCGGTCCATCCGGTGGTCCAGCCCAGAGAGAGAACAGTGTGAGCAGGCAGAGTCCTCACAGCAGAGAGGAACGACTGAGGCTGCAGAGGTGTGGCTCGTCCTCCAGGACCAGGGAGAATGTCTGCATTAATCCACACAGGACAGCCCGGCTCAGACAGCACCTCCTGCAGCAGGAGCATGGAGGGAGACAGCGCCTCCAGGCTGCAGGGAGGGTAAACAACAGTGTTAATGTCACAGACAGGTACAAGCGAGAGGAATCTCAGCTGGGTCTCACCTCTTAAAATCCAGTTTTATCCCTATATCATGCTCCTTCACTGCTTGGAGCCACTCCCTCAGTGTGATGTCACTGTCTGTAGCAGGAGGATGAGCCATGATTGGCTCCCGGGGGTCTCCACCTCTCATGATGATGTCGGCCTCGAGCATGTGCGTGGGACCTGAGGGGAGAGTTGGCGGTCAGATTAAAAACAACATGTTTTTTCTTCACGGTCGTCTCATTGTGACTGTACAGCTGTTTGTTGGATCCACTTCAATATGTGGTAAACAAATAAAAACCGGAAAGCATTTCATTGTGACTATGACGTGGTTTTGTTTTTGTGTGAGTGACAAGATCTAAGTGGGGTTGTGCAATAAATCACAGTTTCATCACTACTGCAATATGACCATTCACAATAATCTAACTGCTTAAGTCTTAATTTATCACAATAAATAAGAACAATTACTTATTTATTATAATTTTATATTTTATATTATATTTATGTAAATAAGTAATGCCACCATTGTGACACTGTCTAAATTGTACAAATATGTTGCCAGCGTATTTGTACCATTTTAGACAATGTGCTGGAGTCTGCCTGCATTTTTTGGTGGGCTAATTAAAATCAATAAATTACCCCATACTGGTTCTTTAGGACTTCTACTTTGCTGCCATGTAATTGACACAGGTGGACCTATCGATACCATTTGGCATTTTTTACTGCCTTCATATTTAAAGTTTAAAGTATTGACAATCCTATTAAGAGATATCAACAGGCTTTGTTTTAATGATACATGATATAGATCAACATCATTTGTTTGTTGTTACTCTGTGTTCTAATAAAGAAAGGGTTTATATAAGAGTGAATTCATTGTTTATTACTCATAACCTGTCTTTAAAACATCCACCTGTCAGAGCCTCGGTCAGTCTGCTCCTGCTGTTCACAGCGTGAGACCAGCTGACCTCCACAGTGTCTCTCCTCTCGATCCTCCCCCGACTGAAGAAATACTCCAGAGTCCGCTCAGACATCCTCTCTGCAGATTAAAACCCGCTGTAAATATTCTCACACACACACACACACACACACACACACACACACACACACACACACACACACACACACACACACACACACACACACACACACACACACACACACAGACTACAAGTAGTCTAACGTTATCAGCGTTTACAGGTGTTACGGTTTAACCAGTGACCGTGTTAAGTGGCGAATTTCAGCCGTATACGTCTGTGGGTGTCATGGTTACAGCAGGTGTAGGAAACAGATATTAAAATCAAACAAAGAGGCATTTGCGGTGACTTTCTCCATTTTTAACAGCTGCCGTAACCACGACAACCACAGACGCGTTTGACTGAAAGTCACCAGTTTACATGGTCACTCATTACACCAATACACCGGTAACTCAAGCACTGGAAGGGAACAGACCGGTCAGACCGAGGAGGATACGGTGTTCGGTTTGGAAGAAAAACAAAACACGAAAGGTTAAAACACTTAAGAAAGGTTAAAACACCTTTAAACAGTTTTACCTCTTAAACTCCAGACGACATAAACTGTAAAACACCCGATTAATAGGGTACTAATACTCAGAAAATTAAGCAGCTTCTTCCTCATTGCTTCTTCCAGTAATTCTAGACAGATTTAATCCAGTTTTAGCGCACTGGTGCCCCCATTGGTGCAGTAACGTCACTGCTACCCATGCTGCTACCTTGGCTCTAAAATCTACATCAATATCAGATCTATTCTGCTAAGATCCATTTTGCTGAGGATGTGTGACATAGGAAGCCTCATCATTATTCCTATTATTAGGCTATAATTACACCATTCATTTATAATATTATTACTATACTCAATTACTACTGTTATTATAAATTCATGCTAATAAAGCACCTTGAATTGAATTGAAATCAAAAGCATTTGAAATCAGTTTTTGTTGCGCTCAGAAGACTCAGAAGTAAATATTAGATAGTTATATTTTAATCTGTGTTTGGATTCTGTGTTCCATAATGTGCAGTGTTTCATTCAGGGTGGTTACAAAATGTAATACTTAACCTGCAGTGTTGTGTGTCTGCAGGAGTTCACCACCTTGTGTTTCTTTCTTTGAGTTGTCTAATGCCACTTTTTAATCTATTTGTTTTCCATTTATGTTTTGAAAAAACACAAGACTTGGCCTGCTCACAGACATTAGTGGCACAATCTGAAAAAAAAAATCTTCACAGAGTCTCATACTGTACACTGACAGACCAAAGTCAGCAGCTGGAACACATGTTTCATTTACAAATTATCAAAAAACAACAACACAACAAACACAAAAACCAATAGTATGCCTGTTTTGCAAATCCAGTTTTGTTTAATGACATCATATTATGTGTCCTGATTAAATAATAGAATGAAACAGTGCAATTGGTTTAATCTTTTACTTTAAAATTGTGGTATCAAGTGACAAACAACATCAGCTCAATATTTAAATTTAAAATTTAGACCCTGACAGAGAATTAATGTGTAGATACTAGAGGATTGAAACAGACAAATAAAAAAACCTTAATCTATTTGTTTTGGTATTGCATAATGCTGAGAGTGCAGCAAGCTGTGGTGCTCTGAATGTTGTTGTTTTTTATCAAGCTGATACGAGCTCTGTCAGCCTTTAAATACATGTAACATCGTCCTGAGAGGTGAGAAACACGGTATCAAGACTTCAGGTAAGACCTCTTCTAAAACTTCAGATTTATCCTTTTTTATTTTTCCAACATATCCATGCTCACTACTGCCCTAAATGTTCACGTTTTATACGGTCAATATAAACTTTTGCTCTTTCTACAATTAATTAAAGTAATTATGATTTCCTTTAGAGATCTCTGTGGATGAAAAATGTGAGAAGACAATGATACTACAGTAAAATCCATGCAACAGTGTTAATTTACATGTAGTGGTGAATCTAGAGAGAATTCTAAATGTACAGCAATAAAAGTAAAAAAAGATATTGACAGTAAGTCAGGAAACAAATATTTAAATAGAAAATAAAAACATACTTCAATGGAATAAATAAAGTAATTTAATAATAAGATAATAACAAGAACATTTCATTGAGCCAAATCTTGGACGAGATGCCGGTGGTGACCGTCCGCTGGAGCACGGTCTGTGTTGTAATAAAAACATCAGGCTCTTGCGCAAATGAGATGCAGTAATCAGAGACAGGGATATTAATATTTATCATACAGGGATATGAATAACCAGGTATCTCTGTGTGCATGAAAACAACACAGTCAGACTTTGATCAAACTGGGAACAGTCTCAAACACACGTGCTCAAGTGCATGTAATCGCCAATGACAGATCTGGCAGCATTGAACGTGTATCTGTTCTCAAACATCACCTGGCCTGTCCAGTTCATCGCAGCAACAGAGAGCTCAGTTGTTTAAATTAGTAATGGGCTCTTTTTAGTGATCCGGATAATTTGATTCAGATCAGTAAAAAGAGCCGGCTTATAAGCTCCCAAACAGCTCTTCATTTGGTACTATACATTTTGGCTTTATTAAATCAGCCAAATTCAGCAAAGTTTTGACCTTTGACTGATATGTGTGCTTTTATTTACCTGGAATTATTCATTGTAATAATACGTATACTTCCCAGAATAACACAATTTACATTATGTTGGGTATAAAACATTAATGTATAAACCACCAAGAAAAGATCCTCTCTTTATTCTGTCATTTATTAAATAACAACAGAAAAGGGTAAAAAGTGCCTCTCAAACAGGAGCCAACTCATTTTGTTCACATAAAATAGTTTGCACATAGCGCTGACACTGACCAACATCAGTTAAAATCTCTAATAACTGAGTGTGTGGTGTCTTATTAGCAGCAGTCATACTGATAACTGCAGCAGTTTTTAGGTTTTTGGTTAAGATCTAAAATCATCATTCAAATAATGATTTGCACACCAAATGTTTCAGATAGAAGATCTTCCATTTGCACCAAGAAACTTCTGACTGATAGACATTCCCACATAATATGTAAAAATGTCCCTACTTAGTTTAAGTCACATAGGGAACAGTTTGGAGAGGGTGAAACGTTCATTCTAAAGTGACATGTATAGGTGTCATATAGGTCACTTTTTAAACCTGTTAACAAACTGCTGCTTGGCTGAAAATAACGTTGAGATCATTAAAAGAGTGACTGCAACTCAAACTGCTCTTACTTGATTTGATTTTTTTTCATATAACATAAATGCTGATTTAATTCCAACACACGCTAATTCATCAACACTTGAAGTGTCCTTACTAAATTACTCATTTTCTACAGCAAATTTAACTTTAATCCTTACTTTTGCAGAAATAATGAAGTAATCCGAAGGTGAACACGTGTGTCAGACGTGAAATGTGTAACAGTCCAAATAGAACCAGATGTTCTGGAGCTAAATGTTCACACTCGCCTCGTGAGTGGACAGAGAACAAACAGGTTCATCTTATCTGGAACCAGGGGAGCTGTTATTTTTCAGCTGGCAGCAGTAGCTGTAACATACATGTGTAAACTCACATTCTGAGTTTAATGTCTGAATAAAAACCCCAAAAAAGTCAGAACAAGAAAATGTTTTTCAGTGGCCTTATTCCTCCTTTTGTCCCCTGTCCGTGTCCCTTTAGGGGCTCCCATTTAATTTGACACAAATTGTAAAGGTGAAAAATGATTATGATAATAATAATAATTCCACAATCATTTGTTTTGTTCTCTCCTCATTGTTTTGTGCAGTCATGGCCTCCTCTCTTCCTCTCCTCCTGCTGCTCCTGTGCACTCTGAATGTGGCCCATTCTAACATCAGGATCTTTAACCTGAGGGCCACCGGTCTCCCCTCTGACCTGTTCGGAACCACAGACGGTTACGTCAAGGTTTCCTTTGCTTCAGTCGGTCTGGGGAAAACGTCAGTTCAACGCGACACCGTCAACCCATGGTGGACTGAGGAGTTCTCCTACTTTAACGCGAAGCAGAATGACGTGCTGATGTTTGAGGTTTTCGACAGCGACCTGGTCTTTGATGACCTGCTGGGAGTCTGCCAGCGTCAGGTTAAAGTGGGCACCCACAGTTTTGACTGCTACCTGGAAAAAGAAGGCACCTTCCATTACTCCTACACCCTCCAATGACAGAGGCATGAGTAGTTCTGTTGTCACGATACCAGAATTGTAAACTCCAATGTACCCTCGGCTAAAACGGTCTTTGGGTGTGTGTAGAAGAAATAAACAACACACATTGTACAAGCAGCCTGCACGTCTCTCATGTTTTCATTCTAAAAATTCATTTCTAAGTGAACAATTTCCTCGTTCAAAACTTCTAAGGTTTACGTATGAAAGTCGATTATACTCATTTAGGTTATTTATTCATGGGTCTTTATAACACTACCAGTTTCAAAGCTGGCCAATAAGAAATACCATTTACTGCAACAATGAAACTAAAAGTGTTTTTCCAAAGTCTATTTACAGTATTAGAAGTGGAAATACAGAAGTTTAAATAATCAATTTGTTGCAGAGAGTTTATCATTTTGGCTGTTGCCATCTTTTATTTTTGGGTGCAAAAGGGACATAGTTTGGATAAAGCAGTGTTTTCAAATAACTGGGGGCCTGATTCACTCAAGGATTACTCAGGTATTGCATGGATAGCTTAGCCTAGCTGGATAGCCTAGTGGTTATGTCTGGCACTCCTCGTACAGAGGCAAAAACTTATTTCATTATGAGTAATCTTTCAGTAAGGTCATATTGGGAGTAAACCATAATAGGAATAAGACATTTGGAGGAGGCAGGTCTTTATTGTAGACATGTAAACACTATCACACTATGAAACAGCATTATCAATAATACAGTATAATTATTATAATATAGCTACTGTAAACTGTATCTAGGGCACACATAATAGAAAGGTTTCTCTTTATTTTTACTTTTTACATTTTTGTTTTGGAAAGAGATGCATACACACATAGACATCAACTTCAATATTTCTATGTATTTATTTAAGAAACACATGTCAAACATTTAAGCATCAGTCTTTAGATCAAAATGTATTCAAGATAATAACTTGCATTTCATCAGGGGTCCAAACATTTGTCTGTTTCTAACTGCTTGACGACGTGTGCCCTGAGCTTCTACTAGCTTTTCTGATAGGTGGGAGAAAAGACCCTTTTCAGGGAGAAGGGAGAAGTAAAAGTCATGATAATGATCAATGTTGGTCTGTGATACCCGGATCAAAGGAAAATCTATTGTCGTTGTGTGAAATAAATGTACTGCTGCTAAATCCCAGTGCAGCGTTTGAGTGAAATGTAGACAGTGCTTAAGTAAGATCATGGAGATGGAGAGATTTAATTATATATATATATTTTTGTTTTACTTTATGTGTTTTCTCTGTTGTGTCTTGGGATATAAATGTAAATATCTCATGTGATCCTGATTTCACTCTTAAAATGTGTAAACTAAGTTAAAGGTTAGGGTATTATTTTGGTTGGTTAAAACTTGTAAGTATGACTCTGTGATGGAAAGCATGAAATTAATAAAAATAATTCTAAAAAAAAAAAAAAAAGATCAAGGAGATACTCTGTATAAATATGAAGACAATTCAGGCTTTTAAAATATATTTTCATG